GTGCGAACCGGGGTCCAAGAAGGGAAGTGGTGCCCAGGGCGGGGAAGCAGGGGCAGGTTCAGGTCAGGGTTAGAGGTAGGGAGCCCCATGTTCCTGTGTGTCCAGCTGTCCTCAGCTCTGATCATCCACTGAGGTCTGTGTGTTCCTGTCAGTACTTTCTTTGTAGCAGCTGAGGTCAGCACTGTTACGCACTTGTAAACTCTGGTACTTTCTCTTTGTGGTCACAGTCAGCCGACCATCTGTCCGTTTTATCAGAGGTCACCAGAACGTTTTTGTCACACGGATTAGTTAAGAGCGACCTCTGATGTTTTGCCAGGCAGCCAGTCAGAAACGAGCAGTGGAGATGAGATGCACATACAGTGTTTGTTTGTTTGTGTGGGTGTACGGGTGTATGGGTGGAGAGTGTAGTGCTGCCAGTGAGGCTGGAAGTCATAAAGACCCCTGTACTGTGGTCGCTGTGTGTGCTTTCAGTGCACAGGGGTTGGGGGTGCTTATGTCCCTGCCTCCTTTCCCTTATTTAGAGGCAGGTCCCTTTTCTACAGAGGCAGGGGAGTTTCCTGCTTTTGAAGACCCTGGGCTCACACACGCATTCAGAGAGAGAGAGGCTGCCCTTACTCTTCTCCTCCTCCCTCTCCCCCTCCTTCTTCCCTCCTCTCTTTTTTCTGAATGGATGTCCTCTTTCTAACCTCAGTCGAGAGCTGTGTAACAGGACACTGCCCTCCGCCGCAGCAGGCTCAGCCCCCTCTTTAACAGCCACAGCCACACTATAAGAGAGTGCACCGCCGGGTGTTGAGTATGTGAGAGCGACTATGTCGGACAGTGTCAGTCAGGGGCTGAGGGAGAGAGGGAGAGAGGGGAGGGTGAGACGAGGAGGGAGAGGAGAGATAGAGACTGCGCTGCGAAACATGTGATAGCACAACTCTGGCGGGGCTTATAGGGAGTTTAATGGCTGTAGTGTCTCCAGAGCTCTGGGAAAGCACCTTTAGCCCAGAGGGAGCCTCACACACTGTCTGGGAAAATGTGTGTGTGTGTGTGTGAGAGAGAAAACCGGCCGTGTAGTGCTGCTGCTGTCACTTTAAGCCTGTTACTGATTACACTCAGAAGAATGCAACAGGAGGAGGAAACAGACAGGGAAATAGATGAGGAGACATGTAAGGGTGAAATCTTCTAGGAGTCGATCTCCGGCAAATGACTCGTCCTCCCAGCCGTGCACAGTGGCGTGGATGAGAGCTCTCTCCTTCTCTCAGTCTCTGTCTGTTGGACCAGGCACAGTTAAAGTGAAGGGGAACCGGGAATCCTTGAGCTTAAAGAAAGGCACCCAAGGAAAAGCCACGAGGAAACAGCACTCTCACCCAAACGGGTAAGTGAAAAAAGAAAAGGGAAATGACTCCCAAAACGCGGAGCTGCTGCTGTTGATGGATATCATATGTTACAAGTAAAGGCTGAGAAACTGGGCTGAGCAGAGCTGAGAGGACGAGCAGCAGGGCTCGGGGCCAGTTCAGTGACTGTCAGAAGGTAAAAAGTGTGAAAACTAGAGGAAACGCCTGAGTGTGAAGCTCGGAGTCACATGAGCGGTCTTTATTTGTCAAGCCAGTGAATGATCACATTCAGCCTGTCGGGTCTTGGGCTGTTCTGAGTTTGAATGGCCATTTGTGGCGGAGTGTGTTACCTCACAGTGGGAGCTGATTCACTGTTCCACAGCCCACATGTCTGGCTCATGGCTCACCTGGATGACTTGAAGTAAAATGTATGGTATGAACTATCGTCAGCGCTTTAGTCATCCACCTGACAACGTGAACTGTCGCCTCGGGATAAAAATAGATCTCTGTGGTTAATGGGCCTTTTTTACTTCCTCTCTGGCTCAGTCACACTGTTGCTTCCGCTGTCGTTTGACACAGATAACACAGTCCACTCCTGCTCAGCAGCACAGGGCATGAATGAACTGAGCGTATATGGGTGTGTGTGTGTGTGGGGGGGGCACTATCATGCAGCACTGACAGCGAAGTGTGGCTTCCTTATGAATGGACATGGCAGCCGGCTGATGTGATTGGCTGTGTGGGCAGTGACGCCTGCTGGTGTTTAGATTCACCCTGCCCGTTGCCGTCACCACCTCCTAAGGCACTGCTGCGTGTGTAGATGTGTTGGGGAAAATGTGTGTGAGACAAAACGAGAGAGTTTGAAGGGATGTGTGAATCAGTGGATCTGGGCTACATGTGTTTGTCTTAGGGGACTTAGTCACCGGCGGAACAGTGGGGTGTGTGTTTTAAAGCTGTGGACTTTTAAAAGTGGTGGCGTCCTGCCCAGCTGTTCTCCTTCATATCGTCTCCCACTCTCTCTGACTAAGATGACGCTCTCTCTAGATATCTCTTGTCGTGTAATAAGGTGGCAGCTCTCCAGTGTTATTACATAACAACGCTCCTTGTTGAGTCACTTGAACAAACTTGACAAATTTACATTTTTGGATTTCTGTAAAATAATTTAACCAGAACTATAAAAAGGCAGCGATGTAAAGAAGTGACAGTGACAGTCTGACAGTCTGCGGCTCCTATCACGACGTGGTGATGCCGTGACAGCTCTTTCTTAAGAAACAGGAAAAGTGGCCACTAAAACAATCTGTCCGGGCCACCTCTCACACGTGAAACACAAGCGATCGCAGTCACAATGCAACTATGTGTGTGTGTGTGTGTGTGTGTGTGTGTGTGCATAGCCACCAGCCTCCAGCCACACATACATGCACACCCTGCTCTGTCTCTTTGTTTCACTGCAGCCCAGAGACGGCCACTCCTTGAGCTCCACCAAAGATTACTGCAGCTCCTTTATGCCTCCATACCACTGTGTGCCCCAGCACTACTTTCCTCTGTAGTTTATGGCACCAGGAGGTGTGTATGTGTGTGTGAGATAGAGAGAGCGAGGCATGGAGATAAGAAGCCAGCTGTAAACTGTCATGTTGGAGAGCAAGGATCTGTGAGCGTTTATCAGGGCAGCAGCATTTCCGGCCCGAGTGTGTGATAACAGGAAGGTTGGCGGTGAGATGCATCGCAGGTATCTTGATGAGGGAGCTCAAATTCCCTGGTGGAGATTAGCATGGATTCTACCCTCTGCCTTATCACGCTGCCTACAGAGTAAACCCTGCCCTGTCCTTGGCAGGAAGTAGCTGAGCAGGCCGACCACACTCCTGCCGCCAAACACCGCAGGGCAAACACCCATTTGTCACAAGGCATAATTGTTTTCAATCCCAAGATGGACCACAGTTAAAATACATCAGTTCAAATAGTACTTTAACAGATTCTGAAGTGAAATGACATAGCAGACAAAACAACAACAGATACAGCAAATAAGTGGATGGTCAGCAAGAGCGACTCAGTTCTGCAAACATACTGCAATTATTTGCCTGCTGAAAAAATTTCATCAGGATTAGATAAAGCAGCAGACCTTGCATAAAAAAAATATTTTATTGATAAACTAAATGATACATTTTCTGTTAATCTAAATCACAGGTAAGATGATTAAACAACTGTTTATAACATTGCACTGCAACGTATGACCTGTCAAACCAAAGTGTCTCCCTGATGTTTTTAGTCTTTCACTGCACTGGATCGTTAGTATTTAATGATAGAATGCCACTGATGATGTATCATAATGAAAAACTGTTTCATTTTGCAGTCAGTCCTGTGGTGGCTACAATTATCCAGGAGCTCTTCACGATGAAGGATGACAAAGGCTGAAGGAAGCCAAGTCACAAGGGTTTAGTCTGAACCATGTCCACATACACAGGCTGGTGTCTGGAGACACTGTGACATACCCTCTCTTCTCTGACATTGACCAAGCTATGTAACCAGAACTGGGTTAAGCAGCATAACAATAATCTGAACTATCACTTGTCTCATTCCTTCCTCTCCTTTCCTTCTTCCCTTGTCGCATGACTCCTCTTTGTTTATGTAGCAACAAGTCACTCGCGCAGTCGTCACAGGCAGAGTGCAGAGCTTAGCAGCGTATCTCAGACGTCACGGGGCTAAATGCTTGTTCAGTGTATGTGCACAACAGAAGAGACCCGTTAGAGCATTTGGGCGCGTGCATGAGGCTTGTGTGTGTGTGTGCGTTCTTTGTGTACACAAGATCGCTCGTTCCAACGGTGTACTAACCACACACACCTGGCCTGTTTCCTCCTCTGTTCATATATGGGCAAGGCTTCCCTTACCTGGGCCCCATTCTGAATTCCAATAAGTGGCAGTATGTGTATGTGTGTGTGCAAGGAAGAGGCTGTAGAGACGGATGCACGTCACGGAAAACTAGGATCAATGGGCTAGGCCTGCAGAGCTGCGTTTTAAGGTGTTCCTTTTGTTTTCCGAAGGTAATCAGTTAGCACAGTGACTCAGCCCGGTTGGTTATTCAAAGTGGCCGCTGGAGGAGGACGTCCATAAAGAGCTGCGGTCATGTAGCTGAAGCAAGTAGAGTGAAATCCCTGTGATTCCTGTGGATCAGCAGGATCATTAAAGCAATTAGAAGAGTAGAGGAAGACACTGTGGGGGTTTGATGGTTTAAGCAACAACCATAGTCAGTCATCTTGATGTCAGGTATAATAAAAACCTCCCACCATGTACTCACTCGGTTACCTTCCCTAGCTCTCCTTGGGCAATTTATCAATGAATGTGTTGGTATTTAGGGTGGAGGCCACAGAGGTATTAGCCAGGTTGCAGGCCTCTCCCACAGAGCTGACATTATAACATTTTAGCCTCTGTGTTGCCTTGTGCAGTGGCTAACAGAGCTGATTTATGGCTGTTTGCTGTGGTGTAATGCTATTCCTTCTTAAACCCTGTGACCCCACAAAGGCGAGGGGAAGACACGACTATCTCACTCTCTTTCCTCTTACTTCATCTTTCTATTTATTCCCCTCTTCTGCCGCCACCTTTCTTTGCTCTCTGCACATTTGCCAGGCCTTAATAAAGCAGCTTGAGGAGGGAGTTAGTTTTCCTGGGTCATCTTGCCAGCTCTTTCCCATCAGTCCTGCCCCCTGGAAGAGCCTGCAGACACCCCTCTCTGCAGGCCTGGGGCCTAGCTTGGGGCTGGGGTACGGGCCGTGCATCCAAGGCTGGGGATCTCTCTTTGGCACTCCTGTCTAAGGCCTGGATTCAGTCTACGCTTTGACTGACAACCACCTAGCAGCACCCGAAGGAACCATTTGGGATTGCTTTACAAGTAAAATCTGTTTCATCTCCTCAATTCATCATAGGATAGAAAGTGAGAGGGGGAGAAGTGACTTCAGCAGTTGGTCTGGCAGTGACCATCCGTTGAATAGGGGGAATATTCTGGGACAGAGAATGGCTCTGGATAGCAGACAGAGGTGGCAGGGAAAACCGAGTCTCCTCAACCTCTGTGTCCACAGAATCTGAGCTATTGGCTCTTTCTCTCTGGATGGACGGTCTCGCTCATCCATCACAGCCAATCAGACTCAGGCTGGGGCATATAGGACTTAGGGTGCTGACAGCTGATATCTGATTGGCTTCTGGCATCATGGGATGATTGCTTAATTGGTGGCAAGCTGTTAGCCAGAACCGTATTGTGGACTTGTCTCATCTTGCAGAGCAGGCATCTCCTTTAGTCTGTGAATCCCTGCAGATCGGTGCAATTTCTCTTTGTCCACTTTCATTTCATGTACCCAACAAAACTGCTGAGGCTTAATCCAAATGACCTGAATAAGCTCTAAATAAGTAGGAGTAGTTTAGTTTTGACAGACTTTGACAGATTTTCACACGTGTCCAAACGTTGTCGTGTTTCCTGCAAAAAGACGACGCCTGGCGCTGTTGGCAGTAAGAAGGAGCACA